GAGAACTTCAGCCAAGAAGCCTGGACAGTGCACTGTTGGTTGATCAGAGAAATCAAAGGCAACATGCGCATGGCAAAGGCTGCTACCTCCTGACCTGTGCAAAGGGACATTGTGCCACCCGCCATGGGATGACTGAGCGTGGGGACCCGACACTCGGTGAAAGCAGCCGGCCACAGATGCACTAGGGCTACATGAGTCCAGCTGCAGAGTGCTAGTCTGTCCCCAGGGTCTGTGAAGAGGGGGACATGGGGACTGCTGTTCAACAGGCAGAGAGGAACCTTCAGTTTTTTGAGATGAGATTAGCTCTGGATGTGGAGGGCAGAGATGGTCACACAACCATGTGATGGTGCCCAACAGCACCGAGCTGCACATACTTTGCGTCCAAAAGGCGATCACCACAATCAAGAAAAGCCTGACTGAATCTATATATCTAAAATGTGAGTGTTAACACATGACCCACGTGACAATGAGGGAGACATGGCATGTTCCTGTCTTCTTTCAAAGCACTACACCTTTAAAATATTGTGTATGCTGCTGTGGATGGTGCATGTTGATTCTGACTGGTCTCACTTGGCAGGCACACGTGTGCAAGCGCGCACACACACACACACACACACACACACACACACACACAGCTTCCCTGAGCTGGACCTGTCCTACCACTCCTGCCTAACATACTTAACAACTGGATCCAATGATTAAAGGCATTGAGGGGGGCTAGGCAGGGGACAGTTCTATCTTCTCTGACCCCCATTAAACAACTGCTCCGCAAATGCCAAACGGCAGAACCCCAAGGGTTTACAACAGCCCCTGTGCCTCTCCACTCTGCATAGCGCTCCCAAGATCCTACAGGACCTTGAACCTCCCATAGGGCAACCACAGAAACCACAGACCAAAGGAGGGCTCAGACCTGGCCCCACTACCAGGGAGGCTATACAGGGTGCTGGGCGGCATGAAAGGTCACTAACTCCCACCCTCAAATCCCACTGCACCATTGAGCAAGTCAGTTTAAGGAACTGACAGGGGCAGGCTGTGGCACAGCTACGTGCAACACCAGCATCTCCTGTGAGTACCCATATGAACGCTGGCAGCTCTACCTTCAATCCAGCTCCCTGGTGATATGCCCAGCAAAGGCAGCTTAAGATGGTTTGAGTGTCTGGGCCCTTGTACCCACATGGGAGAACCAGAAAAAACTCCTGGCTCAGCTCTGGCAGCCAGAGAATGGAAGATCTCTCTCTCTCTAACTCAAACAAATAAATACATCTTTAAAAAATAATTTAAAAAATAGAAGACACTTACTATGATCAAGAGCCTTCCATAGCCTGGCCTTTGTCAAGTCTGACTTCCAGACATGCTGACCACACTTTGGGGTTGACCAGGGCCTGTCTTAAAGACACACACAGCGTCAAAACTCTCCCGAGGAAAGGCATCAGCAAGCCGCCCCATGCGGGCGATTCTCATAAAAATAATCAGTGTCACTGAGAGATTGTTTGTCAGGTTAATCCTCCCAGAGGGAGTGGAGACTAAAAACTGGGGGAAAGTTTTGCCAAAGCTCCAAGACCACTTATCTACCCACAGAACGAATACAACAGCCTTTCTAACAGCTTTCAGAAAATGTTTTCTGTTTTCACAACATTCTCAGAAAATGTTTTCAGAAAAACAGTCTTTCAGGAAAAAATGAAACATTGGAAGACGGCATGAGGACACTGCTATGCAAGCACCCATCTGGCGAGTTAGGCACTCTCAGAACAAAGGCAGCAGGAACTTGCTGTCCTCCACCCCAAGCTTTCTTGGTGCAGGAAGGAGCCCCTGGCAAAGGGGAAACCTCACTCTAACCTCACACTGGGGTCCAGGGGCTCCCACCAGCCATAAAGACTCCTTTGTGGAAACCATAGTTGGCAATAAACTATCAAAAGCTTCATTGAAGATCTCAATGGATATGGTTGAGTCAGGAATAGTGCACAAGGACAGAAAGATAAGAGAACCACTTATCACACTGCATAAAGGGGCTTTGGGCACTTGAGCTAAGTGTATTGAGAGCCAGGAAAAAAAAGTGACAGAGTACAAAACCACCAAGTTTACTCTCTGCTTTAATAAACTCCCTGCATTTAATTCAGTCCTCTCTTCCACTAGTAATTACTCCACACGCACACACTCAACTCATCCTCTCCCCAAGTACAGCTCGTAAGAATGCTACACTGGAAATGACCTTGGTATATCAAGCAAGCAAACGCCTTATAACTGATGATGTAATCCTATGTGTTAAACTTAGTTATCACATCAGTCTGCTGACAGGTGCTTCACGCTACACAAGAACATCTCAGGACATACTGCTATAGCTTCACAAATACAATTGCTAAAGAACGTGATCTTATAGGCTTGTCACTTCAAGCAGGTGCTTTCCTTTCAACAAGCTTGCTAAACAGTCTTTATCCCACAAAACTAGAGTACTCACGCCTGTCTCTGGATGACAAAGTGCACGAGGGGTGGGTGTCTGACATACAGCCACTTGGGATGCCTGCCACCCATGTCCAAAGGTTCGAGTCCTGGCTCCAATCCTAACACCTGCTTCCTGCTAATGTACAGGTGATGGCACCAGTAGCTGGGTCTCTGCCACCCACATGTGAGATCTGGACTGAGCCTCCAGCTTTAGCACGGCCCTGTCTGGTCCCAACTGCTGGCAGGCAGCTGGGGAGGGAGCCAGCAGAGGGGAGCTCTCCGTCTCTATGCCTTTCACATAAGCAAGCATGTGAACTCCATGATCACTCCTTTAGCAAGGAGGAAGCCGCAGCTTCTACAAAGTACCCACCACGTGCAGACTGCCGCACAGGCCTGCTGTGTAGACTGCAACAGCTTCCAAAGGGTTCTCATACCACACAGGCTCTCAAATACACAAATACACAAAAGCCCTCCCAACTTAGTAAGCGAGGGCCTTGGGCTGGAAGTACATGCTTCCCTTAGTGGCTAAGAGGCACCTATTCCCATCTGAGAGCCTGGGTCTGATGTCCGGCTCCTGACCCAGCTTCCTTCTGATGCAAATCCTGGGAGGCAGCGATGACAGTCCAAATGACATGGAAGACCTTGACCATGTTCCTGGCTCCTGCCTTTGGCCTTGGTCAGCCTTGGCCATTGCAGGCACATGGGTAGTAAACCACAGACTGGGTGGGCTGCATTTCAAATAACAATATCTATCTATCTCTAATTAATCTATCCATCTATCTTCAAAAAGAGCACTGTAGGTAGGTTCACAATACACTAGACTGCTTGTGCAAGTAGAATGGCTGGAAGCACCAAGAACTTTGAAAATCAAAATGGGTTGGGAGTAGTAGAAATGGTCTAACTAAAATCAATCATGATACCAAAACTTTTCTCAGTACTCAAGAGAAGCTGCCCAGCCAACGTGTGCAGTTATTGGCAGTTCCACCAGTTCTGCCTGTTATCTCCCCAGTACGCTCAACCCCTGACAAGCAACAAACAAACCCTCCCGAGCTTCTTCCCATCTCTGTATTAAACCAGGGAAAGGCTCGCCCCATCTGCTCTCCCCCTGTGAAGGGACTGAAGGCAGAGTAGAAGCCTGCCGCCAAGCCCAACACTAGTCACTGTGTTCCAGCATTCAGGTGAGACAACTTTGCTTTCCTTGGTCTCTGTCTTGAGTAGTTCTATCCTGGACTTCCTAATCAACAGCACTACCAACTTCTAGTTCAACTACGCAGGGCTGGCTAATCGGTTATCGACTGCATGATTTTTGGTGACCCCCAACCAAGAGACAAATCTTGTCCATCAGAATGAACAGCGAGCTGAGCCTCCCCTAGGTTACAACTGTTCAAAGTCACTCCCACAGGCTCAAGGTCAAGACGAGAGGTGCTTCGGCCTCACTTGGACAAGGTTTGCCAAGATCTAAATTAGCTCCTGATGCTTCAGGGTCAGCATCTCTGGCAGCAAAACCGCATTCCCCGATTACCTTGCCAACACTCCAAGACCACACACCTCCACGGCCAGCATCGGGGCAGAACCAAGGAAAGGGCACACACTTGCAAACCCGCCATGCCCTCTGCCAGCTTCAGACTCTTCGCTGACCCGACCTCTCTCTCTGAGCACCCCATTCACTACCCCAGGTTCTAAGCCTCACACTATCTTTAACCCCTGAAATAAAAACTTACGCACCCTCATGAGTACCAAACCCAACCCTCTCAAAGCTCTAGACCCAGAGCGGCACCCGAACAGAAAACAAACCATTTTCATAGTTTTAGGTTGGTACTGCAAATGTAAATTAGTTTCCTCTTTTAAAATGTTGCTTTTGAAAAATGATCGACTGGTGGCACCTCCTTCCTAAGCCAGCTCCTGTAATGATCAGGTCCGTAGCAGGCAGGCCACCACTCACAGGCAAAGTGTGGTGGTTAACAGGTCATTTGTAACTCTTTAGTTGCATGAGGCAACGGTTGCTCCAAGCTTCATACTCTGAAAGTGAGTGCCTGAACCTCAACTCATTATAATACACAGTAGCAGAAAAAAGTGTGGGCTTTGGCATTTTCCTTGACATATTCTCCATTTCCATCAAAACATAAAAGAAATCAGTTAAAAGAATCTGTCACAGTCAAATGCTGCTACACCCAGCGGGCACTGGGCAGACCAGTTAACCCGGGTTGGGATGCTCAGATCAGAGTGCTGGGGTCAAATCCTAGCATTGCCTCCCATTCCAGCTTCTTGCTAACGCACCTGCTTGGTGGCAGCACGGAATGGCTCAACCACTTAGGTTCCTGTCACCCATGCGAGAGACTTCAATTCTTAAGTTTCTGGTTCCTGACTTACTTTGGCCTGATGCAGGCCAGGCTGTTGTGAGCTCCTGGGGGGTGGTGGGGAGGGGAGTGTGTCAGCAGAGGGAAGATCTCTGTCTTTCAAAAAAAAAAAATTCATTTAAAATAAAGGCCACACCACACAGCCTTGACATAGATAATTCTAACAACCACACACCAACTTCCTCCTGCCCGGGCATTGCTTACCCATTGCACTGAGATAGTGGTTGAACGCCTGGCAAGGAGGGCTTGGTGTTTGTGTTGATTTGTCACAACTCATGGGTGCCGGGCTCCTGTCTGTGTCAAAAGAGAAATAGCCACTGGAGGATCGAGACAGCAGCGAGGATCTTCTCATAAAGATGAAAAGCGGGGACCTGGTAGCAAACGGGCTGGGGCTGGCCGCTGGCGCCAGCGGGCCCTGCGGGCTGCCGTGTGAACACCGGTCACCTTCCGGATTACCTTCTGGTTCTGACTGCAGGGAGCTAGGGGCCCCGGGTCGGAGCTGATGGCGTGGCGTCTCAGAGGGCTGCAACTGTCCCCCTTCTCGGTCACACTCAGAACATACATCGGAAGGTTGCTTTGCCATTTGGTCTTTTTTTCTGCAAATAATAATAAAAGGCTCCAATTATTTTTAGCAAAAATCATAGATATAATAACTTTCATCTTCCTCATTCAAAGTTATTCTAAGTTTAAGTATTTTCAAATTAGATCCTAGAGAAGGAAAAAAAAAAGTACCAGGGGTATCAAACCTCCGATCATCCGGAGGATGAGAGAGAGACTCAGTGCCCAACCACCAAACCCAGCATCGGCGACAGTCCATCGCTTGCTCCCGGCGCGCACAGCGGCCACCTGTCTGAAGTCAGCCCTGCCTGGGCTCCTTGCAGCAGACAACCCAAACTCCCAGCGGGCTCCCCAAGTGGGCTCTGGTTTCCCGGGATCAGACGTCGCTGCAGCCCGGGGGCGGGCGCAAATGCAGCAGCGAGTGCAGGCGGCTGGCCGCCTTCCCTGCTCCGGCCCCATTGTTCGCCGAAAATGCTGAGGGCAGCAAGTCTGGAGAAGCTTTGGCAGCGGCCGTCAGTCGTAGTAAGTGCGTCACAATAGAGTTTGTAACTCGGAGCGCGGCTCGGCCGGGCTCCGGCGCTCTGCGGCCGCGGTGCCTTCCCGCTGCCCGCACCGAATCGGAGAGAACTTCTCCGGCTGCGCGGCCGTCCTGCAAGGCGCGCGTCTCGGATCGGACACCCCCACCCCCGTCACCACCGCTTCCCCGCCCGGCGCCGTCCCCCGCACCCGCGTCAAAAGTTGCACAGCTCTCTCGGCAAACCAGGCAAGCAAGACCCCTCCAACTCTAAAAGCAGGCACACGAAACTCACGTCCGCCCCTTCCCTTCCGAGCGTGGCGTCCGTGGCCGGGCCCCGCGGCGTCCGGCCCGCGCCCTTCGCCGACTCGGCGCCCCCTGACCGTCCACGCCAAGGCAGTGCTGGAGACAAAGCCCGGGACTCGGGTTCAGAGCCGCCGGGGCAGTGCAGAGCTTGCAGCGCCTTCCCGCCCGCCCGCCGCCGCCGCTGCGCTCCACCGGGTAGCCGAAGGCTCCGCGCGCCGAGCCTCCAGCCCGCGCCGCGCCTCCAGCCCGCGCAGCCCCGGCCGCCGCCGCCGGGAACATCCTCCGCCTCCTCCCGCTCCTCCCCTCGCGCACTGCGCCCGCCGCCGCCGGCACCGCCGACCTCCCCGGCGCCATAGCCAATCGGCAGCGGCGACGGAGGCGGCGCCTACGGGTCAGGCCGCCAAAGGCGAGGCGATTGTTGACAAACTCGCGTCCTGCTGCAGCTCCGGCAGCCGTGGCGGTAGCGGCGGGGACAGCCTCGGTGGAGGCTTCGCGGGCTCGGCTATGCCGGCCTCCCTGCCCCGTCCCGCCCTCGTGCCCGGTCGGACACCGCGCGCGCGCCTCCATAGCTCCCGCTGCCCACCCCCACCGCTGCTAGTCACCTGAAAACAAAGCAGGACCGACAGGGCCGCCCTCACACCCCGTGCCCTGCCATCCGGCCTTGGTTAAGGCCAATCGGAGTGAGGACCTCAACGATCGCCCGGCCGCAGCTCTCCCTCTCCAACAACTTCCTTCCCTCCGCTCCGCTGCGCAGCGGATCAGCACAAATTCAGAGCGGCCACAGGCGAGCACACCCATGTCCCTGACCCTCCGCGCCTGACAAGTTCTCAGCCAGCGGCGCCCTCCGTAGGAGTAACAACCTGGAGCTCACGGCGCCTCCAGCCTGTCTGTACCGCGAACAGGTTTAGCTGCGCTTGTCCAGGCGCAGACTGCCAAGACAGCCCCGGACCAATGCACCGGGCATATAGGCTAGCTGGGACTTAAAGCTCCGGGGGTAAAGGGGCCCCCGTCGGTCGCTCACTGTCCGTGAACCGTGCAGCTAAGCACCGTAGGCAGGGCGTCCACAGACCGAGAGAGACTCCTAAGTGTGCCCGATAAGACGAAACTCTGCAACTGCTACGAAACCTTGGCGTGAAGGAGCAAAAGGAAAAACCCGCTTCCCACCGCAGTCTCCAAACGCCTCGGCAACCGGCCGCACGCACAAGGAAACCCAGTGCCACTTGACCGCAGGCCACGTATCGGGTCGGGCAGCGAGACTTGCAGGCTGGGCGTGCAGGCTGGTATCGGTGGAGTGGACCCCGGTTCCCGGGCTGGCGCCCGGAGTACCCGTTGCCTCTCCCGTCCGGTCCTGAGACGCGCGCACCGCACCCCCGTCCCTAGGCGCACTTTGGACAAGTGCCTGCAGTTTCCGCGCCGACGACCCTTCCCCAAAGCCGGCCTGCCTGGGAAGAAACAGGATCATCACCAATCGCCGCCTCTTGCCCCGCGCTGAGCGGAATGGTTACGCTCGTCTCTGCCCGCACGTGAGCGGGCAGTGGGTGGGAACGCGCCAGCTCCAGCGCCTGTCTTCCATCCGTTCCCGGCCCGCTTCCCCGGGATTCGGGTATTTACCTTGCGTTTCTCAGTTCGAGAATTAGAGTCAGACATTGGGGGGAGGTGGGTCAAGGGAAAGGCGCCGAGGCTGCGGCGACGGGATCGGGACGATGCAGGCAGTCCGAAGAGGTGTTAGCCGCAAAAATGGGGCAGGGCCGGCAGGGTGGGTTAACGATCCGGTGGCGGCGGCTACGACAACGGTGTTGGAAGGCGGCGCTCCGACGAGGCTCTGACCCAGCGGCGGTGCGGAGCGAAGTGAAACCAGCACGGCCCTGCAGCCCGACTCAGGCTCGCAGCACCGCGCCCGTGCCCAATCACCGCGGGCCCCACCCCCGCCAGGGCCCGCCCCCGCGCACCGGCCCGCCCCGAGGCGCCGGGGCGCGTGCAGGTTCCCACAGGTAAAGGCGGGGGAGGGCCCTGCGGGTGTCCCCGCCGCGCGCGCCTGGGGTCCCGGCGTGTGGAGCGGGGCGACTTGGCAGCCGAGGCCGAAGGGGGGCGGGGAGGAGGGCGCGCTCAACCCCCACCGCCCCTGGGTAACAGTGCCTCCCCGGAGCCGGGGTCGGCCTAGCCAATCAAGGGGGTGCCCTGGGCATAGCGGCGAGCCCAGCCCTGTCTCGGCTGCCCGAGTCCTTTTCTGGACTCGGGAGGCGCCCTTGGCTGAGTGTCTCGGCTGCCCGCAGTGGGCGGGAAAGGGCTCTGGGATGGTGCTAGAGGAGAACGCGCGGGTGCGTGCCAGGCGGGCGATCCGCTTCTGAGCACTACGGGCACGGAGGGTCCAAGCCGCCGGACTGCGGGCTGCTCTGACTCCTGCGCTCGGCCAGGACCCCGCTGGAGCTCCCCCTCGCACCTCAGCTCTCCATTGATCACACTAAGATCCGGAACCCGTGGTGGGAGCGGGGAGGGAGTCCAGAAAAGGGCCCGGGTTTGGGGGTAACCTCCGGGGTTGTGGGTAACTTCCTGGGGCGGTGGGAAGGTCTTCTCCAAAGCCCAGGGTGCGGGGCGGCACAAGTGTGCGGAGTGGAGCAAAATAGGGAAATGAAAAAATAACTCGAAAATAAATCATTTTAAGAAAAAAGATACCGAGGGAGGGGGGTCGCCGCCTTCAGCTATGGTGAAGAAGGTGCCTGCGGCTCGCTTGGGACCCCCGAAATTTGCTGCGCCCACAGAGAATTGCCTGGGGAGCCGAACAGCAAGAAGGCGGCGGAGTTTGGGCGGCGCAGGGAGAAGCGAAAGGAGGCGCGACACCTGCCCCCGCCTCCTGCAGGCGCGCGCCCCTTCCCCCTACTTCGCAAGTTCTTCTTCCTTGCTCCAATCCCCGGGATCAGCACCCGAGTCAGCCGCCTTCCCCGCTGAGGGGCTGGCCGCGTTCCCTACCCTCGCCTCGCGCACCTTTGTACCCCCCGCCGCCAATCCCAAGCCTCCAGGCTACTGTGGCGGGGGAATGGTGCTACTTGAACGGGTCCTCGACCCCCCAGGGAGGGCGGCCTAGCCCGAAGGGAGAAAGTCGGTTGAGAAAGGCTGCGCAAACCCGCACCCAGCGGGCGGGATGGGGGTGGAGCGGGGTAGGACGGGGTCGGGGCGCGGATCGGCGTCGCCGTGCCGTCGGGCCACCTCTGTCGCTTCTGAGGTTCCTAGGTAGATCTAACGTCAGCGTGACACAGCACAGCCCCAGGTTAAAGTCTCCTTGTGCGAGCCCAGGGCGAAGTGAAGGAGGCCTCGGGTTCCGGGAGAGGCGGGAGGACGCGCGCCGGGCCCCGCCCGAGTAATTTCGCTGCAAGAGGGCGCAGGCGAGGGCGTGGGCGCGGATACCGCCCAGTGGACTGGGAGGCCGCGCGAGGCCGGGCCCGTCTGCCCGCGGCGATCGGTGGCCTAGCCGGTGAACTCTTTGCGCCCCGGCGGCCCCGCGTCGCACTTGTGTGCAGAGCACGGCGACCTGCCGCACCAGCGAAGGGCCTGTTCCCGGTCAGTGGTCGTTCAGCCCCAGGCGGCACGCGTTCCGCCGGGTTGGGCGACACTGAGGGCCGGGAGGAACGGCGCAAAGGACGCCCCGCTGCTGCACTTGGGCGCCAGTAAGGCTGCGCCACCCCCGCGACCCTGCGAGCACTGTGAAAAGCACAGGCATCGATGGGGCTGAGCGACCGACTGCTCCTATCTACCACGCGTTCCTGCGTGGGTGAACGCCACCGCCTCCTCCCATGGCGTGGGGAGGGAGGTCCGGGCACAGATGAGGACCAGTGGACACTGGGTCAAGCACGGGTCCTGGAGGTGGCTTCTCGCCTCTGCCATGGCATAGGAGGAGGAGAGAGAGGGCTGGTGGCTTTAAGGGACAGGGAAGAGCGTGAAGTTGGGCACGTGGGATTAGTGGGACAGAACATCGGCGACCTTCGTCTACATCCACAGGTGTCCATAAAGTTGCAAAGCCGATTTATTTATCGCGGCGTATCGCAGGGGCCCGCCTCTCCGGCCTCCTCCCGCTCGCCCGATGTATGTATTCTGTCGTGCCTGCACACCTTTAAAGCGCAGATGACAGCTTCCTAGGAGAAACAGCGTTTTCTGTCGCTACCCTTGTTGCGTGGGAGGACTGGCGGGGCCTGCTCGTTCTAGGAGCGCCAGCCGGGGACCCCACTCCCCGCTCCGCCCTGCGCTTCCTCGCCGGGCCCGGAAAGGGTCGACTTCGCTGGAAAAGCTTTGGCCGCGGAACAGAACTTTTGCCTGCGCGCGGCGTGTTTGATTTTCATGTTTTGATTTATTTCCACCCAGCACCACTTTCTTTTTCACTTTTTTTTTTTCTAAAAATTTCAGGAATCGGGGGTCACCTTGGCGGCATGCGACCCTGCGGGAAGCCCACCGCGATTGTGTGCGGTGGGGAGCGGGGTGGTGCGGAGTTGCGGGTGGAGAGGAAGGCGCCGCGTTCTCCCTGAGGGTAGCGCGCGCCGCGCCAGCTGCGGGAGCGCGGTCACCGCGGACACTGCCCAGCGCGTGCCGGCCGGGCCTCGGGCCCCAGCGCCGGGCCACGGCGGCCACTACGCTCCCCGCCGCGCCCCGTTACAGCTTGGCGAGCGGCGGCTCGGACCTCTGGGAACGCGTCCCTTCCTCGGTCACCGGCTGCGGGGACTCGGGATAGAAGGCCCAGGCGGCTCGCGGGCTGGGGATCCCGGCGATAGGTGCGTGGAGGGTGCTCTTTGGAATGTTAAAAGCGGAGATCACCCTGAGGGCGTCCTCTTTCACTGAGTCGCACAGATCCAGCAACTGCAAAACAGGATACACAAAGGGACGGATCAGACACTGGGACGCTCAGAGAAAAAGTGGGGCTCGCGGCTTTTCTCCCACCCCACTAGAAGCCCGTGCGCCTCCTCCAGGGACCTCAGAAGCCAGGCTTCCTTCGGATCCCTGGGGACCCAGGCGGGTACAAGCCTTGGGATCGCGAATGGTCCTCGGGAGCCCTTTGTCTGAACATCCTCACTCCCTGACCCTTAGTCCCACAAAAGCCAGCAGGCTTGGGATAGCAGCGACCCCACCCCACGTCGGCTGCCGGGGAGCTGGAAGCAGACGTCGGAGAACTTACGAATTTCCTCTGCTCTCAACTCCCTCCCCTCCCCTCCTCCGCCCAGCGCCCAGCGCCTCCCTTCCCCTTCTCTCCTCCTCCGGAGTGCCTGGGGTGCCACCCTCCGGCGCACAGAGGCAACTGAACAGGAAGAGCCTCCGGACAGGTGAACCAGGCAGCCTGGGCTACCCGCACCAGCGCCCCCAGACCCTGCTGGCTGCAGGCCGGACACTTGGCCCGGCGGGCCCCTTGGCGCGCTGTCCACCGGCTTCTATGGAAACGCAACCTGTAGTTAACACGAACAACCCGCGGATGTTGTTCAGACAGCACTTGGCTGGCAGAGACCAAAAACCCCTGGAGGAGGGGAGAGGAAGTCGCAGGCCAGCGCCTAGGGTGTATTTCATTCTCCATGGTTTAGGCACCAATACTTTTCTTTCTTTTTTTTTTTATTTCCGGGCGGTGGGGGGGGGGGGGAAGAGAAGAAAAGGAAAAGAAAAGAAAGCTACAGGAAATAGTCGTTTTTCTAAAACGAAACCAAGGGCAAGGAACTTTTCCCTAACCACCTGTATGGAATGGTCCTCTATTTTCCCCCAAGTTTGCAGTTGTAAATCCATTTCACTCCCCAAACCCTTGTTTTCTTGGTTTAATTTTTTTTCTGGTTTTGAAAATATCCCATCAGGCCGCCTGCTCCTCGGGCGGGTGGGCACTAAGTGGAGACCAGAGGCCCCAGCAGCAGTCCAAGTGTCCGGAGGCAAGGAGAGCTCTGTAAGCCAGGGGTCAGAGAGGGTGCAGGTTGTTCAAGCCCGGCCGGGCTTCCTTGCACGTATGCTGGGAGCCCGGTGACATGTAAGGAGAATGTGGTTCTTGGCGTGCCGTGGTTAAGCACCGTCACATCAGTACTGAGAAGGAGGCACTGCGACAAACTTTCCCTGGCCAAGATGTTAAAGTGTGTCATGAATACTCTTGACAAATCCCTGACTAATCTGTCAACTCTGAATCTCTTTAACCACACAGTGCAAACCCTGCGAGCCTACACAGCCCCAACCCTGTCCATGAACTGTCACAGGATTATTCAAGGTGATTCCCCCCCCCTTTTGAATTTGCATTATGAAACTCAATCAATAAAAAAAAAAGAGTGACAGAGATGGGGGTGGGGCAGAGACAGAAAAAGAGATATTCCATTTGCTAGTTCACTCTTTCACCCCCACTCCACCCACCAGATGGCTGCAACAGCCAGGTGTAGGCTAGACTGAAGCCAGAAGCTAGCTATTCCTTTTGGGTTTCCCAACTAGGGGCAAGGGCCCAAGTACTTGATTCTTTCTTCATTATTTTCCCAGGAGCATCTGCAGGGAGCTGGATTGCTATTGGAGTGCCAGGACTTGAAGTGATACTCAAATATGGGATATTAGCATTGCAAACAGCAGTTTAACTTGCTATGTTACAAGAGCAGCTCTGCAAGCAGCTTTTCCCACACTGCATGCAGAAGGCATCTCGGCCTCTTTCCAAGGGCCCCCCTTCGCTCTATTCCCAGTACCAGGGGCTCTCAGGCTGGGTTCTCTGAGTCAAGTCCCTTATCCGGATTTCATTCTTAATGATTCCCTTTCTTGCTTGGGCACCGTGCCAGACTCTTTCGCTCTATCCCTTACATCTCAGCTGGCTTGCAAGTTGGCTTGCCAATAAAATGTAGAGAAAATGTACCAGTGGGAATTTCAGCGTTTAGGCCTTAAGCATCTTGGCCACCCCTGTTGGAGCTCTCCTGTGATCTCAAGACCGCTGGCCATGCAGAAGCCACAGCCAGCCCGTTGGAAGAAGAAAGGGCATGTGATTTCCACAGCCCCAGGTGCAGCCTGCCTAAGGTGCATCAGAGAGCTCCTCAGGTGACCCGACCCACAAACTGGATGTCAACCTTATCCTCACTTAAATGCACAGAAATGGAAACTTTTGACCTTAACAAACCCAACACTGAATAACTTCCATTGTTTTAAAAAGGAAACCATGTAACCAACTCTAAGGGCTTATTAGATATGGAGTGGCATGTTAATGTCACTTCTTGCCATTCATGAGTTTACATGCATTGAATATTGAGCCAGTTCCTTTAAAAGAAGAGGTGATTTAGGACCCAGCTAAATCTTCACCTTGAAAGCTCCAGGATCCCACATGGTCACTGCTTTACATCCTGGCTGCTTCACTTTCCATCCAACTCCCTGCTTATGGCCAGGGAAAGCAGTGGATGGCTCAAGTCCTTGACCTTGTACCCACAAGGGAAACTCTGGCTCTTCGCTTCGAATTGGCTCAGCTCTGGCCATGGCAGCCACTTGGAGAGTAAACCAAGAGATGGAAGACCTTTCTCCCCATCTCTCCTTTCTGTAAATCTGCCTTTCCAAAAAGTAAATTTTAGAAATTAAAAGAAGGCATTGGGCCCAATGCAGTAGCCTAGTGGCTAAAGTCCTTGCCTTGCACATGCAGAGATCTCGTATGGGTACCAGTTCTAATCCCAGCTGCTCCACTTCCCATCCAGCTCCCTGCTTGTGGTGTGGAAAAGCAGCTGAGGACGGCCCAAAGCCATGTGGGAGGCACGGAAGAAGCTCCTGACTCCAGGTCGCCTCAGCTAGGCCATTGTGCCCATGTAGGGAGTGAATCAATGGAAGAAAGATCTTCCTCTCTCTCTCCTCCTCTCTGTATATCTGACTTTCCAATTAAAAAACACATAAAAAAATTTAATAGAGAAAAGAAGGGACGCCTTAAAATGATGAATTAACCACTATGTTTTAATCCAAAAGACTGGGTGGGGGAACAAGGTGAGAGATGTTGGTAAAACGAGGTTTCTGGATTCCTTTGTTGCCTTTGCTCCTGCTGTAATAGATGCCTCCGCCCCCTCTGCCCATCTCAACTCTTCCCCATGTTACTCCCTGCCTGTGCAGTCCAACCCCAAGCCCCACTCGATTCCAGCCTCGCCAAAGAGCCAAGTCTGCCAGGGTGGGTCATGTCATCTATCCCAGATGGCCAGGCCTCAGGGTATACGCAGGAGCCACCGGCTGCCATCTCCTAAGCACACCGTGAAGCAGCACGTGACACTGAACTTACATAATCCAGGGTGTTGGTACCCCACTCTGTACTGCTTCAGGCTAGCATTTGCTGCACGCCTACTGTGTGCTGGATTCTAGAGGAAGGATTGATTCAGTACTCAGCAAATCTATCAGCTGCTGCTTCACGTCACAGATGGGGAAACCAAAGATTGAAGAATTTAAGTTAGATATTCACAAATGGGGTTTTGCTCTGGCACATTTTGCATCAACGCTATGGGCTACCCCTTCTGCCCCAGCATCTCTCTATTCCAGCCCCCATGAGGATGTGGGACTGGCTGAGGAAATGCTTCCACCGGGATAGCGAAGGAGTGCTCCTTGAAGCTGTCCTTGACATAGAATCAAGGTCCCATGCATGGTCAGGGTGGGGAACATGGGGCTGCCCAGCCATGTTGGCTCAGATTGCCCAAGGAGAGCAGAGTAGCAACAGAGGCCAGCAGAGGGGTTGGGGGCAGAGGTGCTGCATGACGTTGCTCCCAGAGGAAGGTGCTAAAGATGTTGGCCTCGGACTCAACTGCCCTGATGTGAAAGCCGGCTTGAGAATCTGGGAGTGCCCATCCTGTAGATGTTCAAGACACGATGATGGATTCTTTCCCTGTGGAGGAAGGGCCTTGGCAGGCGGCATGCAGGCCGCGTATTTTGCTTAGTTGTTCGGGTGCCCGCATCCTGTGTCAGAGTGCCTAGCTTTGATGCCCGGCTCTGTTCCTGACTCCAGCATCCTACCAGTGCAGATCCTAGGTGGCAACAGTGATGATGTAAGTAACTGGGCCCCTAACACCCACATGGAGACCTGAACTGTGTTTCCAGCTTCTGGCTTCACCCCCAGTAAAGACCATTGTGTGCACTGGAAAGCAGACCAGCAGACAGGATAATTCTTTCCCTCTCTCCTTTTATCTTTTCCTACATCTAAAAAAAAAAAAAAAGTGTATTTAAAAAGCAGCAGCATGCCAACTGCTAACTCATGCCAGTAAAAATGGCCACAATCAAGTCCTTAGACTGAAGCTCTTGCTAATTCTTGCAAACTCATTGACCACACTGAAGCCTTGGTCTGGCTTATCTCACACTGATTATCCAGCAGAATCACTTATCCTGTAAACAAACATTCCCTAAGCAGGGTGGTAGGTCTGTGATGGGTAATTTGCCGCTTTAACCCCTAACTGCTAATTAGCAGACACTGTAAAAAACAAATAAATAAATAAAACTAACAAACCTGTCACACAGGCCAGAGGCTTAATCTCACACTGTGTGCTGCGGTTCTGACTCTGTCAGTTTACCCAACAATCCCCCTACAAGAGCAGCCCTATTCCTGTCGCCATTGACCACTGCTCAGCCCTCCAGCTCAGCCAGGCTTTTTGTTGGCTGGCCACCTATTCCGAGAAACACACACATTCTCATGGGATGAAACCAAACCCCACAGTTCTAGTCACTGTTCAGAACTCCAGGTTAAGATTTGCTCTGAATCCATTTTAATTCCATTTTAAGTTGATTAATTCTTCAGCTGATAACAATATTTTGTGTACTCTGAAATGTCAATGTGGAGAAATTCCATCTTTATTACACAGCAACAGTGTCCCCATCACTTAGCCTAACTAGAGAGTCTAGCTAGGACTGGTGATGTGATG